TGTGAAGGCCATGGGGGGGGGGTGTATGAAATGTGTTTTTCTTTTGTATGACTGCTCGTGTTGCACGATACCTGCCAGAATATTAAGATTATTTTAAACTATTTTATAGAATACATCAAGGACCTGCGCATTTCTCTCAAATGTGAGAAAAACGAATTGAATGTTTTTTTCACTAGGAAAGGAGTACGAGTATCACTGCCACAGTTTTAGAGATTAGTCAAGAAGTTGTGATCTTTACAAGTCTTCTAACACTTTCCCTTTCATTACTACATCAAACTGCAAACCTACACTAACCTATTTATGCTATATTTAAATATACTTTTGGTGGTATTATTCATTGTATTGTGCCTTTCTTCACTCTGATCAAACCTTGTCAATTAGACTGAAGGACAAGAGCTACCAACAGTCATGAAACAAATCACTGTAGGTGATGTTAGAGATCATGAGGTACAAAACAATACAAGTACTTTAGTTGTTTTCTAGACACCATAAAGTCTCCAGCTTACAGCTTTGCACAATTGCTATTCATTTCAACAAAAGTAGGATTGTTTTTTTTTTTATTATTATTATTTATTATTATTAAAGTGGTGGTAAAGAACCAAATCTGTAAAGATTTTTAAGAATAAATGTGCATGGCATTTGGCCCATGCTGCTATGGCATGAATGAGTGCGGTGTTGAATGGCAGTTTACAACCATCCTTGCAGATTAAGCCCAAAAAAGATGTTTTATTTGCATTTTCTTTAAACACATTTCAGCCCACAAATCACTAGTGTGAGTGAACCAGGTGTAATGTTCAAAATTGGCCTTGTCAGTTGTGATTTATAATAAATGATCCTGTTTAGGTAATTGTGTGTAGAAACGAAATGTGTCAGTTGAACGACCACTGTCAACTTGTGATTCTGGCTGCCTGTTTACATGTTAAAATAATACAGTTGCTAGTTAATATTTGCCTATACAGACAGAGTTGTACTGAGCAGGCTGATGTGTCCAGGTTTATTTTTTGGGGGGTTTGGGCAGGGGGGCTCAGCCTTTATTACCCAGTGTGTCATGGAGAGGCAGGCATGAAATAAGGGAGCCAGGGAGGAAGAGTCCTGGGACAAATGTCAGCACTGTGCATGTGCACATGATGTGCGATGCTGTGACCCTTCGGCTGCTGGGATGCCCCTGACTTAATTAGTCATAATTACAGAACTGAGCACAAATTAATACCCAGTTTGTGTTGCTACAGAGGACATGTTGAGATCTGTCTCCATGTAATCATTTTAAATAGCCTCAAAAGAATGTTTGTGACAGGCTGACTCCTAGATTCTTCTCATAGGCTGGAAAAATACCAACAGTAGTCAAAATCATTAGTTGACTTGCGTTCATTAACTGGACAGAAATCTGACTTACTGAATAAGATTTATTTATCAGAATATTTTGACATTTGATAAATATAGATCTTTTCAGCCTCATTAAAAGTTGTTTTTCAAAGTTTATTTTTTATTTTTTGTAGGCTAAATAGAAACCACTGAACCATTCAAGGCCCCATTATTTAGCATTATGAGTGGTTCCTTGGTTCTGTCGTGCACTGAACTCAAGCCTGTATAGATTTTTACTTTTTGTTGTCTAAATGAGCAGAAACTCTGAAATATTTCTGTGAAGAGGAATTAAAAAAGTACTTTGTTTTCATATTATTTATAGATTTGTGTGGTTCTGTAAACACCAAACAATGGTTCCCTAATGGCTGAGCCAAAGAACCACTTCCTCCTACTACTAAGCACTTTTCCCTACCAGAGCGGCAAAATTAAAATGAAAGAAAATGACTATATTTGTACATATGGTGTGAATTAGGAAGAAGCTGCAAGGTAAATTTTCTTTTTCATTGCTCTGTTAGTAAATCCTTGTAGATGTTAAAATGTTCTGGTCCTCCCTTAGTTTTGCAGAAAACATTTAGAAAAGATCATTTGGGATTTCCCCTTTAAAATAACTTATGTAAATATTTACCTCAATGCAGTTATGTTTCAAGAATTGTAAAGTTTTTACATTGAGCTACATTTGTTTGGACTGGTGCGCATCGCTATTTGAGATTTAAGAGGAAAAAGTCAGTGCACTGTGGTAATCAACAGGTTATTGTAACAAATCTAAATAGATGGTTAAAATGTTTCTTCCAAAGTTGATTATCTTGCCTTAATATAATAAAATATTGAAATGCAGTTTTCTGCAATCTAGTGTAAATGATCTGACACCAAAGTCATGATAGTAGATTATTGAAACTGTCATGTCAGCCTGCATGGGCAAAAAAATGCATTGACTAATCCACCCATCTTCACTGAGCGTAGACAGAGTTAGGCAAAAACTTGTATCTGCACAAAGACCCAGGTGTGATTCTTGGTGTTATGTATGTGTAGTCAACTTTGCTATTGTGCCTTGGGCCTGAGGTCTTTTCTGCATTTTCTCCACATTTGAAAGCCTCACATTTTAAGTGCAGTGCTTGTTTTGTCCATTGTTAATTCCATAGTCCAAGCACTGCGTATTACAGAAGGCTCCGCATTGTTATGGCTGTAACAGAAATTTTATATGACAGTTGAAGAGTATACTGAAAACCACCACTGACCCTGGCCAGGATCAATTTTTCAACTTTTAATGCTGACAGCTAGGAACCAAAGAAATAACCTGATTATAAAGTAGGAAACAGCCTGCAAACCTTAAACCTCATCAGCTGTGTTGGACTTCAGTATGACAAATATTGTAGGAAAAAAATGTTCTGCAACAAAGCAGGAGCAAATTCACCATGTTCTACCCCTCTTTTCCTTCAAAAAATTGTTTTGGTGTAGATTTATTTTAATTCCCATGTGCTACACTGGACAGTAATGTACTTCTAAACCTGATGTATGCGATACCTCCTCAGCCTACAGTCAAGTTTCATTTTAGGCTTAACAACCACGTAATAGTCTACATCAACTCAAGACTACGCTTCTGAAAAATACCTAACTCTAGTTGTGGTTCTTTGTGTTCCAATGTTTTCCTTGTTGCACAATTATTTCCCTAAAGTTTTACCCTTTGTTAACCTCTCCACCCCTGTAAATGGTCTGATATTGCTTTAAATAACTGCAGAGCCTTTTTAAATGTACCATATGTAATTATGCATTTGCGTAATTTCATCTTGAACTACTGTAAGTTTTGTAAGAGTCTATTCCAAATAAAATATGTGACAGGCCTGTTTTTCCTACAACTGCACAACATATGGTCCATTAAGAACAACAAGCATTACACTTCAAGTTTTTGTAAAGATTTCAGAATTTATTCAGGTGAACAGCATCTTCAAATTCTGTTTTACATAGGCTTTGGAGGAGCTCTTGGTGCACCAGCCTGTTAAACAGAAAAATGTCAGGTTTAGATTCATACAACTCTCATTCCTAATACTGACTTGTCAAACACAGGTATAACCAGCTTCATTTGGGTGTATCAGTTCTGGTATTGTACATTCTGGCTAGTTTCAAACGAACCATACCTTCATAAATAGCTACACCAGTATTTTTCCTGATTAGTCCAGAGCATCCACAATGAAATCAGACTTCATAAAGCTAAACTGACCATGTGAGTGTAGTTCAGTGACTGATACTTACAGTGGGCCTGAACCTGGGTGGTGGGGTGCGGTCTTTCCTGGCCTCACAGGAGCGGTTCCTCACTACCTTACTGTGGATGGCACAGCTGACACAGTAATGTAGCTTCACATAGAGCTTGGGTAGAACATATGCTGCAGAGTTGACATATGAAAGGAGCTCATGAGGATATGGCACCAGGATAAAAATGCAAAAGACAAATAGCTTGTGATGATGTGTGAAGACCAAAAAAAAAAGGCAAATATACTCACAGTCAAACACACTGGCCTCTGAGATGTCCCTCACAGCCGCTGCTTCCACTATGTTTCTGATGACAAACTTCTTGATGGCTTTGTCCTTGGGGACACAACGGGCACAGTTGGTGCAGCGGATGGGCTGCACATGCCCGCGGCCCTTCTTAGCACGACCGTTATTCCTCCTCTTCTTGGTCTGTAAACAAAGGCTACAGTTAGTACAAGCTACATTAGTCTTACTGGTTGAATAGTGAACCTCAATACTTTGGTGTATCATTAATGATCTCAAATTTATCAAGCACCAAAAAAGTGGTGCATATATATATATATATATATATAAAATCACTTGAATGTTGCTCTTTTTCAATTCAACAAATGAGAGCATCTTGACCAACTGCATCACTATCTGGGATGGCAGCACAACTGCTATGGATTGCAAGTGTCTGCAGAAAGTGGTAAAGACTGCGGAGAAAGTCACCAGGACTCCACTGCCCTCTCTGCAAAGCATTTACCACTGCAGGGTGTGTAGGTCTTCAAGGACCTCCAGCACAGACTGTTCATACCCCTGCCCTCCAGTCGGAGGCTCAGAAGTGTGAAATGCAGGACTTCTAGACTGAAAAAAAATTCTTTCTGACTGCCATCAGACTCCTAAACAGCTGACTCAGGATCTACCTCATGTAATTCCATCTGTACTGTTTACATTCTCATTTTGCACATGCATAATTGCACTCACTGCTGAGTAATTGCACTCCACAGCTCCCATGTAGCATATATTCTCTCTGCATTATACTGTGTTCTTGTTGTATTTTTGTTTACTTCCTTCACTTGCTGCTTTAAAATGCCTTGGATTTGTGATTTTACTGCCTATTTAGATTTGTGTTACTGCTCATCTACTTTATATTTCACTTGTATTAAGCGGCATTCATGTGGACGGCAAAGTAAGAATTTCAATGTACAGGGAAACACGTTTCCTAACTATGCATATGACAAAACACTTTGACCTTGACCTTACTTTTACACAAATTTGGCACAAGACACATTTAATGTTTACAAATTAGTGGGAAAAAATAACTGTCAAATTTCCATACTGCTCTTTCAAATTTGGCAGAAAGTGACAACAGATTAAGGATAAATACAAGCTACAGTCCTATTTACCATTAACAGTGTAAACGTCATTTACAAAGCGCGTTTTATCCTTGTTTCGTTAAGTGAATAGCCTGTAACATTGTCGTGAGCACGACGTTTCATTAAACACTCTGCCTAAGCGGCTGCTAACGTTGTAAATTATGTGCTTTGTTGTTTAACGTTTCATTTTAACTGAATCATTAAAAACACAAGAGACAACGGCATTAGCGTTTGTCCCACATCCATTCGGTCTCACCACATTAGCAACGGCGTAATACTTTGCTCGCTTAAAGGAACACATGCACAAAACGGCTAGCCTGCTATCGGATAGCATTAGGCCTAGCCTCGTTTTTACCAACTTTCGCGATAAATCTAATGCACATCCCCTACACTGCGGCTTGGACACGTATTTATAATGCATATAAAGGCACGATTATATATAAATAGCAAAATATAACATCATTTTATTCTGGTTTTATCATACGGCCGCAACTGAAACATACTCACCATGATGCACGGGAAGCCGAAAAGAGAACCGGAAGAGGCTGTACGGCGACAAGTAGTGCAAATCGCTCCGCCCTCTTTATCATCATCATTAGTTATAAAAATTCTTGTTCGACGTCAATAAAAACACACACACAAAATCAATTTCATGTGAAAAAAAATAACATTAATAAAATTTTATTCCCGGATGTATATCAGTGTACACTGTTTAATCCAAACGTCACTAAGTGAGCGGAGCTGCAATAACCTGAACCAGAGGGTCCTTGCTGTTGAACAACGCAGTCTAATAAAACAATCCTAAACAACTTTTTCAGTTCTTCCTGTAGAATCAATGGAATACAGTTTAAAAAGAAATATTATATATATATTGCCCGGAAAACATATTTTAAAATAGATAGGTGTAGTTACGTTCTCAATTTGTGACTAGCCCGTTGGCATTGCCTTATTTATTCAGTTGTTTAAGTGTCTTTTTCTATTCTTACTCATAAAACAAGCCGTTTATTTAGTTAAATCCCTCTAATAATGCTAGTACCATATCCAAACATGTCACCTTTTTGGTAGTTAGTCCATTTTTACACACTGTGGTATTCTTTCCAAATTGTCTGCCCTTTACTTTCTTTGCATAAGATGATATGCAAAACATACAAAAGATCCAAAGAAAAACACACTTAGGAAGGCGAATGTCAAATGTTGGATTATAGCAGCAAAACTGTGCAGGTTGTTCCAAAAGTGTTCTTGCACTTTAACATGAAGTTGCTCTGTAACATATTTTTACTCTTGATTCTGCTGCCAGGTTTTTTGTAAAAGTCACCAATGTGGAGTAAAATTATTAACAAAGTTATGCTCTAGGATTAGTTCTAACATTTTATTGAATTAAGTACTTATTTAGTAGAAGATTGACACCATGATTGTTGCTTATTTAACCTGTGTGTTCACTTTGTATGTGTATGACTAGTCTATCATATTAGAAAAAGAAGAGTTAAGATTTTATTTTAGAATACATAAGTTTACATACTTATATGTCACAGTTATGTTTACATAGTTACATATTACCTTATGTGTTCACTGAACCACTGGTTAATATTTACTGTATTAGTCACCGAAGCACTGTTCAACATTTTAGTGTCTTGTCCACTAAATTACTGAATCTCATTAGATTTACAGCACTGGCTAAGAGAGTCCACGGTGAATTTATTATCACCACTGGGCTAAAAGTGAGGGGAGTTGCAGGTCACTGGAATTCCCAGGTTAGTGAGACAGAGATTAGATCTGGACGCATGTGGAGGAGAAAGCTTTAAAGGTAGAAACATCATGCACACACACACACACACACACAGGCAAGACAGTTTTAATTAGTAACATGGAGCAGGTAGTAGGAAACATAGGAAGAAGTGAGTGTGTCTATAGGAATTCAGGCAGTATAGGATTTCTTCCCCTTCTTAGGGCGCGGTCTTGGATGATTGGACCAGAGAGGACGGACGGACTGAAACACCAATGGGACAGCATGAGAGGCACCAGATCAACCCACATTGCACATTTCAAATTTGTATAAGAAATTGGGTTTCCAGGAGGGTAGGTGTTCCCTCTCGTACTGAAGACGAGTTGAACGGTTTTGCTGTTGAGGGTCAGGGCTTCAGATAGAGACGGAACCCAGAGCTCTGTAATTGCTTTTCTTTAACATTGTAATAAATATTTTAAAGGTTGTTCTGACTTTGACTCTTCCTCAGAAACGAACATGCAGGACGGTTAAGTCCAACACCATCAAGAGAGTTTATAATTCTGCACTCCTATAATATGTAACTCAACTGCTGCTTAAACCGTACTAATAGTTACAAGTTGTATAGATTTATTAGGGTTGTAGCACCACTATCACAAGATTCAGCCTCAGCTGCTGTTTCTGAATACAGATGAGCAGATTCTTCAACCTCATGAATGTGCAACTTCTTTGTTAGTGCTGGGCAACACATACTCTAAACACCAAAGTTTAAAGGTAATGGTTGTATTTTCAAAATACTTTAATTCCAAGTCTGAATACATCTATTAAAAGCATGTATAATACTAAATACACATAAAGAACACAAAATACAATTTAAAATGTTTATTTAAATAGTTCTGTGCCTTGTCATTATTTCTTCTTGATCTTCTTATCCTTTGCTTTCTTTTTGCTGGGTTTCTGGTCATTGGCCTTTCTGTAGAGGTACAGTCCCACCAAGCCGAGTAGAGTGGGCACCAGGGCCAAACAAACAAGGGGTAACACGTCATTGATCATTTTCTGCCATGGTGTCTGCTGTGTTACCGAAATCACCTCCACTTCAAACTCCAGAGCAGCATCACCTAGGACAAATCAAGTCAAATTCACTGTAGTATAAAATATGCAGCTGTATTATGTATAGCAAGAAGGGAAGTGTGTGGTAGCATAATGTGCAAGTATATTTCACTCAATGTCCATATGGGGACAAAAAGTCCCCAAAAAGTAAATGAGTACATTTTAGAGTGATGACTTGGTTTATGGGTAGTATAAGGTTAGGTTAAGCCTCATACCCTACACGTTGCCTGACATGCACCTCTCCACAAATGTACAGTAATTACACGTCATGGTGATGCAGACTGCAACAGTTGTGATTGGTTATATCGCATTTTATCGTTCATGTCTCTCAGCCAGACAAGCACGGAAAATCCCCCCTAATTGTGCCTCATGTGGTTCAGTGGTTGTACAGAACATCTCCTCCAACATCTACTTTCTTATCTGTGTTACAGTAATTTCAGTAAACGTAGCTGCTATTCAGCATCTATTAGTTTTAACTTCAACATGACCCGCTCAGTTTCAGTCATCATTGTTAGTAAGTTGTGCAGAAATGCAACACAGTGGCATAGAAACCCCACGGTCAACTACCGTTTTGATGGTGTAATTGCAGCGTGAAACAGAAACACCGGCGCACAAGTATAACTGCTTACAATGGCACAGGCCACTTGTGTAGACTCAGTGTAGGCTCCATGTAGATTCAACAGAGAACCATAAATCAAGCTTAAGTCTCCAAGAAATGAATGTAAGTCAGTGTAATGTCTCCTGAAGTTATGGAAACAGCGTGTGTGTGTGTACTCGTGTGCATGTGTTCAGTACCTGGAACTGTAGGAGGGTAACCTTTTTTCCCATATGCAAGATGAGAGGGAATAGTGGCTTTGATTTTTTGCCTGGATGACAAATACAAAACATATTTCCTCTAGAAGCATTTCTCAGATTCCATCACAAAACCGTTAACTTTTGAATCTTTTTATTTGATTCCTGACTGCATGCAACTGTAAAGTAAATCCAATGCTAAGCTCTTTCACTCCAATGGACCTTAATATACACTTACCCCTCACACACGCCAACCAAGCTTTGTTCCAGACCTGATAAGAAAATCACACAAAGCCAATCAGCAAGGCAAGCAAATTCCCTGCCACACAGCACCCAGCAGTTATCTCCCAGATGTAGCCAAATCAGTCACTGACTGAGCAACACAACCTACACAAAAGGAATATTCTTTAACTTACCAGGAATCACTGTCCTCTTCCCCAGCTCAACAACAAGAGGGTCCCGGGACAGAGATGAGTCAATAACTTTTCCATCCATTAGTTTACCCTGGACAGTAAAACATTGAGAGGCATGAGATAGTAGCTGTCTCTGAGATAGGTTTCATTGAGATGTTTGTTTATATTGTTTATAAATGTACCATCTTAAAATTATGTTTGGTTAAAAGTCTGGTGCTCTTTATGTAAGGTTTATTTTGATGTACAGGTCACATGGCCAGCATTTATTAAAAGGCATAACTGTGGCAATATAGGATAGAGCCAACATGGATGCAGAGGAAAGACATACAGCCCCAAAATAACTTTATTCTGTGGTTCAAGATGCACATACAGGAAATATTCTTTATTTGTTTATAATGTTGTTTATGTGCATGGACAATGTAACATGTGTAACTGATTTTACATTTAATAAGACTTACTAATGTTCTAAAATCCAATTCCAAAATCCTCAAGAATTTTAACTGTCCCAATTAAAAATATTCTGCCTGTAGCACACCGAAATTTTTTTTTAGAATCGTTGCTCCAGCCAGAGATGACATATGTTCCTGGTGTAACAATGCATTGTGGAACAATATGTTGTGATTCAAAAACATGGATCACAAAATCAAGTCAAGACTCCTATGTAATTTATGTGAATGCATGAGGGGACAACAGGCCAGTCTGTTTACTTAACCAACCAGCTGCTGACCCTGACATTCAGTACAGTTAGCTTAGCTACACATTACATTAGCCACACTCTAACATACAAAATAAGGGAAATGTCTGAATAAGAAACAAAATGTTTGAAAACTATTTTTGGGAATTTACATACCTAAGAACTAATAAATAATTGTGACAGTTTTCCTTCTCACTGTTAGTGTGAACGTGTCGAACTGAATCGTGAGCTGGTTGTATTGTTAAATTCATACTTTCAGACTACAACAACATACAAAAAATTCAAATGGTCTACCTACCAATGATTGGCAGGTATTTATTTTTCAGGAAAATCAGTTGATTTGTTCTATCAACCCATTGTGTTGGTAATACATGAGAGGCACATAGTGGAGTTGACTGAATTTTAATGACAACAGGTCAAATGAGCAAACCGACTGACCTATTACATTGTGTTGCCCTATCTTGTAGCTTAAATTCATATTATAAATGGCTTTTACATTCCTGGAGATCAACATGTGTGAGGACTGAAAACCAGGAGCCTCCAGTACAGCGCATGCACTCACTGGTTGTGGTGCTGCCCCACTGACAGACGAGCTGTTACTGCTGACGTGTTGAACCGCCCCATCGGTGTAAAAGCAGAGACGATGCCACACACCAGCTAACTGCAGACAAACCACACTAACATAGGGTACACTAAACCTCTGTCTGCCCCATGTTCAGTCAGTGGCCATTTCAACCAGGTGCACACCGCATAACTGTTTGTTATCCATATGTGTCAGTGCACTAACACAGCTGCGTCCACATCGTTCACGCAGACGTTGCCACATAGACAACAGTTGCGTTCGTCATCAGCCGGGCCGGTGTTGTCCGGTTTCCCTTCAAATCGTTGTACAGTGCACACTGAGCAGGCTGGATTGTTGTTACACATGAAGCCGACAACGAAGAAGTGACTGCTGTTCTGTCTTACCGTGTAGTGGATTTGCAGCGTGTCTCCCATTCTGGAAAGTGCAGAGCAAGTTTCAGGTCTCACCTTTGGTCAGAAGAGTTAAGTGTTAACACAGTTGCATTTGATGTGTAAGTGCTGTTGTGTCGCTGCAGCGTGACTGTTACATTGTAATACGCGTGTCCCACTCACCAAAGTCTCCACCAGCAGCTCGTGTGAGGCACTGTCGTCTGCTTGTAGGAGTCCACAGGTGAAAACGGCGAGAAGAATCAGAAAAACGCTGCTCTTCATTGTGAACTTCTGCAAAAGAGCTGCCATCCAACTATTTCCGTATAGGCTTCTGAACACAGCAGCGGTGAGAGCGATATAGCGCCAGTCTGTCCGTCGATCCCTGTGTCCAAAATGGCTCAGCACCAGCTAATGCTGATGTGTTATAAAACTGGAGCGATAAGAACTAGCAGTCCGCGGACGTGGTCCCAACACCTGGGTCTCCCTAAAGAGCCCGCCTCACACATTCCGCCAGCATCCCATCAGGCTGCCGTGGTGGGTGGGAAGCGGAGGCGCTGGGGGCGGCGCTGTGCAGCTCCTGCCCGGCTCTGAGCAGACATGCTGCACATCCGCCATGTCGCTGCCAGTCCTAGCCCGGTGGACCGGACTGCAGAGATGTGAAGATGACAGAACGCAGCTTCAACCCGGAAGTGATGTGAATTATGCTGTAAAAATAGACTAAAGACCACGAAAACCTGTCTCTCTGACCCCCCAAGTCTGCGTGACAATATATATCCAAAGATAAATAGGCAACAAGTTCAATTAAAAACACATCACATTTGCTTGACAGTGGTCTGATAACATTCCCAAACCCACCTTCAACAGCCTAATTTCATTCAAAAATAGCTAAACTCTGACTGGTGCACAAAAATACATGACATCACAACATGAGCCACTTCAAACTACAGAAAAAACAAAAGCAAACAAAATAATAAATAAGCAAATAAACAAAACTGTCCTAACTTTGCCAGAAAATATTGTTTATGTTTGTTTTCAATCTCACTGACAACATAAATGTTTCCAGGGCCTTTAATCTCATATAACTACATTTTAAACATTAGCCTACTAAACAGTTAATCGAAATGCAGTGTTGCTTAAATGATTATGCCCAGTTCATTCATGCTTAATTTTACAGATGACACCTCATTATTACACAAAGCCGGTGTACTGGGTGTATGCAGAGCTGAATTAACAACCAGAGGAAAGCAGGCAACAGCCCTGGGGCACCAGACCTTCAAGGAGGCTCCAAAGCTGACCATGTTGGTATGCATTTATGGTCATTTGATAAATTTGTGCAACCTATGACTCACACCTTTATCACTTATTTTCAGTTTCAGTTTCAGTATAGTGCTGTCACAGATTCCACCATGTAGAAAGACATCCTGAATACTCTAGAAAATCTAAGACAAATGCATTAATGATAAATGTCCTGGGTTTTGAGCTGACACACCTTGTTGCTTATTCATGTCTAACCATGAAACTTGATCATCCATCTTTTATGTAACAATATGCTAAAGCAAATGTGTGCATCATATAAGCAGCTACATGGTAGAATTTAAATTCATCTTACTGAATAGGTTTATGATCAAGATACATAAAATTCTGCCTCAGTTGGCACCAAAATAGCAATGAATTCAACTAGGTTTTAAAATTCACGAGGCTCGTATAAATAACACATTTTCTGTGGTAAAACCTGGTGAAATCATCTCATTATGAATCATATTACACAGTAACATCACACATAAGTACAATGTCACACTAAACAGTTTTCTACCATTTATATTTTTGCCAGTGATTGCATGATCATTTCCAGTACTTCAGTTAAGAAACTAAACTTTGTTCCTCATCTGAGGATGACAATATTGCACAAGAGTTATGTAATACTGAAGATAATCTCACCATTTCCTAAAAACTCAGTAACTTCACACAGACGAAGGGGTTTAGTTGTCAGGATCAGTAGCAATTAGGTAACGTCCATAATCATTTCCTTTCTTTTTTGACACATTTGTTGTCAAAAAAGAGTATTTACATCTATCACTAAATTCATCTACTACTGGGCCATGGTCAAGATCATCTTCATTAAATAAAGACATAATCACAGAATAATCTGTAAACTTAACTTTATGTCTGCCCTTATGATGGCTGTGACACTCACTGGTATATAAAACAAATAAAAGAGGTGAAAGAACACACCCATGGGTGGAGCCAGTGGAGGATAAAAGGACATCAGATAAAACTCCCTTAACTCTCACTTTCTGAGACTGGTTCAATAAAAAAAAGTCATTCAACCAAGATATTGAACCAGAATCAATGTTGAAACTGTTAGTGAGGCAGTCTGATAAAATATGAGGTTGGATACAGTTAAAAGCAGAGAAAAAAATCAATAAAAAGCAGCCATGCAAAGTTCTTGATGCCATCCAAATGCCTCTGATCCCTGTGAAGTAGGGTGCCTACAGTAACCTCCACACCCCCTCCTGCCTTATAAAGGAAATCATAGTGGGTCCAACATGTTCAGAATCTCATTCAAAATCTCATTTTTCTCAAGGGTCTTCATATCAAGAGAAGTAAGTGCTACGGGTTGAAAGTCAATAAGAAATGTAGGTCCTTTAATCTTGAGCACAGGTACAATTACTGTCTATCCAGAGATGTGACACTCTCTGAAGCTGAAGAGCCTTCATAAAAATAGAGTAAAAACACTTAAGACAGTTTTTTGCACAGTTCTTCACCAGTAATATTACCAGAACCCAGGCTTTCAGCCCTGGCTGACATGCACGGTGAGGGGAGTTGTGCCCAAAGTGGAGTCATCAGGACTAAAATTTCTTTTGAGGAATGGGTGTGAGGGGACTTGAAACACATTTATTAAAAATTGTTAGCTGCTACCACAATCAGGTCTGTACAACCTGTATTTATACTTAGTTGTGTTCATAATTAATCCGTAAAATTATTATATGGGAGATAATATTTTAAGTCTTGACAAGGCAGACTGATGTGGAAGTAAATCACTGGCCAATAAAACAAAGGACACCATTTTCACATCTCTGTTCAGATCCCATTTTACTGCGACAGTATTAAAAATATTGCCTGTGTTTTATAACACAAATCAGGACTGCGGTGAAAATGTTCCAAAAGCCAATGTCAAATTGTTAACAAGCCTCTAGCCTATACAAACGTTATCGTCCTTTCTCAAGTACTGTATTGGGTTGGTTTTGACACCTACTCTCGCGAGATCTCGTTAACTGCTGAGTTGTCCCCGGAAAATATCGTGAGATATTTAGTAGAGGACTACTCAGCCAAGGTAAGTGAGGACCCTGGTACTATCATCAACCTGCGAATATACATGTAGGTCCCATAAATGAACGTTGTGTTTGTCTGTGCTGTGATGGTTATGTAGCCTCAGTGTTCTCCGGCCTGAAGCAGCGGCGGGCGTCTCGCTGGCAGCATGGTGCTTTCTGACGTGATAAGCGGATATATGAATGGAGTGAATGAGGAGAATACCAGATAGCCTTCTCGCTAGCTACCGTTTGTCTCATCCATTTAACGGTTATGGTTACACTACAATGATATATTAGTTTATAACAGATCAGAAAACGAGAAAATTATCGATCTTATATGCTGAAATAAAGAATACATCTTCAGCAAAAACGCAGAGATGTGCGGGGTCGATGTTAATGGCTGATAACAGCAGGATAGCTGCAACATTACCTACCGTAGCATCCCTGGCTAACTAACGTAATCTGAGTCACCTGGAGCCAAGTTGTCATGATCAGACCGGCGTGTCGCGGCCCTGCTCCCAGACAGTAGTTGTAAAGAGCTCATAGTTGATCCGGGAGATAGTTAAACGTCGTGTGTTGGATGAGCAGCGATAGTGTCGCGATCCTCTTCAGCACCATGGACAGGGCTGCAGCTCTGACATCCATACTTTTTAGGTTCTATCTAAAATAGAAATGTGCTCTTTTTGAATTGAGTCTCTCATTGTTGCTGTAGGACGATTAGGCCAAGGCACTTTTTTGATAAGAATGCCTTGAGATATACAGTACTATAGATATAAATTGAAACACCTTGTCTTTTTTGCCCACACTGGAAAACAAGAAAACAACAGGATATGCGTGAAATCACTGTGCAGTTCTTACTCTCACAGTGTATATTGGACACTGGAAATATATTTGACTCATGTCCTGTGTTGACAATTGTATATTAAAAGCATTTTAGCCACTCATTGGTCCTACCAGTGCTGTTCAGCACCTAGAAGCCGTTTTGTGTCTTCTGTGATGCATATTTTTCCATGTACACTCACCACACTCCAAATATTCCGACCCTCTCATGTATGTAGCTGGGGAGGACAAAAATGTAGAGACACCTCTAATATAATGTAGTCCAGTAATAAACATATAATTTAATTTTTACATTTATGACAATTTCACTGAAACATTTTGAACATCATAAACACAGATGTTAAGGCAGAAGTCTTGCATTGAATTGCATACAATGGTACAGGTGTACCTAATAAAGAGGCCAGTGAGTGTGTGTTTGCACCATATTCAAATAATATTATCACTTTGTTTCACAATATGGTATTTTTATTATTGCTAATTCTGCCCATCCTGAAAGAAGGATCCATTTTCTGTTGCTTTTCCTGGGCTTTCTTTTTCCCTGTTGAAGAGCTTTTCCTTATCTGAGGTGAGAATCTAAAGACAGAGGGTGCTGCATATTGTGCTGATCGTAAAGTCCTCTGAGGCTAATTTGTGATCATGGTTATATAAAGAAAATTTACTTGACATGACCTAATGTAGCATACAATATGTTGTGACATTGTGCTGCATTTTAAAATGGCACAGCTCAGCATTACTGGACTATAATGGAAGTGTAGCCTTCTTCTGTTTCTTTGTCTCCGGTTTTGTGTTCAAGCCAGGCCTGGTAATGTAGGACAGTTTGTATGTGCTCTCAGGGCTTTTGAGTTGTTTTAGGTTAACATTCAAAGGAAAAACAAAAACAGAGAGGGTCTGAACAGATTGCGCTGTAGCCTGGAGTCATGGCACTGACTGCGATTATGACTGTGGGCAATTACCATAGTTTTGCACCTGTCTTGGGGTGTGCTTTTTAGAAGTGAGATTTTCTGGTATGGTAGTGTAATGTTTAGTTTTGTTTTCCTAAGGTGCGAGGGGGTTAGCTGGAGCAATTCCTTTACTATTAACTTACCAAAGGCCTTACAGACACTTTGGCTTATCTATAATTCAGTTTTTTATTGAAAAGTGTTAATAATTTAGACCAACATCATTTTTTAAAAATGTTTTCCTTGCAATACTGCAACACATCTAAAAGTAATACTAAATGGTTATTTGCTGTGTTTCAGTTCAGCCCTCCCTGCTCAACAACTGAGACATTGCAGAACAACAGCACTAAAGTTTAAAAACCTGCTCTGCATCATGGGGAACATTTTTGGAAATTTGCTGAAGAGCCTCATAGGAAAGAAGGAGATGAGAATCTTGATGGTGGGGCTTGACGCAGCAGGAAAAACAACAATCCTATACAAGCTCAAACTGGGAGAAATAGTCACCACAATCCCAACCATTGGTAGGTGCACATAGTAGTAAAATATCTACGTGCACACTAAAGATAGACCACTGTGCTTGTTTTACATGGTGTCTGATCTCACTCTTCTTTTCAGGGTTTAATGTGGAGACAGTGGAGTACAAGAACATCAGCTTCACTGTGTGGGATGTAGGTGGGCAGGACAAAATCCGCCCCCTTTGGAGACACTACTTTCAAAACACACAGGGTAAACAGAGCTAACACCTGCCTAAACAGAGGAACACTTCTCGAGATAAGCAGTGGAGATAATGGATGGATGGATGGATGTTCTTCTTGTTGTTTCAGGTTTAATCTTTGTGGTGGACAGTAATGACAGAGAGCGTGTGAACGAAGCACGAGAGGAGCTAATGAGGATGCTGGCTGAGGATGAACTGAGAGATGCGGTCCTCCTTGTTTTCGCCAACAAACAGGCAAGGAACCATTATTGTTGTGCATACACCATTGTAATAATTGCTTGGGGACCTCTGAGCAAATCCAATGTTTTGTTGAATTTAGATTTGAAAAGAAGTAAATACAGCCACAGCAGACACACATAAAAAATTGCCTTTTTCAAAAGTTGTTTCTGTTCATGTCACAGATTTAATTTTCACCTACTCCTCTTCCTGCACATCACTCCAGGCTGAGATATTTTTAGGCTGTCTTGCAGCACATTGCATTTAAAATCTGACTAGCTTTAAGATTAATATCATGTGTGCACAGCATTTGTTTCCGAAATGGCTCTGGCATCTTCAGATATTGCTCTGAATATTTCAGATGTTGACTTTTTTTGATAAAGTCGCAGTTAAGGTTTCCTTCTGATGACTCTTCTATAGACCCTGTTTGTGCATTAAAACTGTACAGTGGAACAGTGCATTACTGCTTCTGCTTTAAGTTGATATAACTAATTAGGATCTAAATTCATAGATATTATTAACTGTTAGAAATTCAGTATATATGGTATGTGATGCTGAATTAATAACTTCATGAAAAGAGGGGGTAAAAGAAAGGAGGATGGAAGAACTTGAAAACAATCCAGGGCTGAATGGGGAACAGGAATAACAGATACTAAGACATTAATTAATATTATCATATATTATCATAATATAATTAATATTATCATTAACATTATGTGAAATTGTCCCACACCTCAAAAACTCCCAAATCTTTTACTTGTGACCTAGTTGTATTTTTTCCAGTAGCATGTACAGTTGAAGTCAGAAGTTTACATACACCTTAGCCAAATACGTTTAAACTCAGTTTTTCCACAACTCCTGACATTTAATCCTATAAATACTTCCAGTCTTAGGTCAGTTAGGATCACTGCTTTACTTTAAGAATGTGAAGTGTCAGAATAATAGTAGATGCAAACCGTAGTCTGCCTTTGTTATGGTGGTCTCGGAGCAGTGGTTTGTGCCTCGCTGAGCAGCCTTTCAGGTTATGTCGATACAGGACTTGTTTTACTGTGGATACGTTGGTACCATTTTCCTCCCGTGTTTTTATAAGGTCCTTTGCTGTTGTTCTGCGATTGATTTGTACTTTTCAGACCAAAGTATGTTCATCTCTAGGAGACAGAACCTGTCTCCTTTCTGACTGGTATGATGGCTACATTGTCCCGTGGTGTTTATACTTGCATGGTATTGTTTATACAGATGAACATGGTACTTTCAGGTGTTTGAAAATTGCTCCCCAGGATGAACCAGACTTGTGGAGGAATATTTATTTATTTATGAGGTCTTGACTGATTTCTTTTGATTTTCCTATGATGTCAAACAAAGAGGTACCGAGTTTGAAGACAGGCCTTAAAACACATCCACAGGTACACCTCCTGTTGACTCACATTATATCAGTTAGCCTATCAGAAGCTCCTAAATCCATGACATTATTTTCTGGACTCTTCTCATCTGAGTGTATGTAAACCTCTGACCTGCTGGTATTGCGATATAGTGAATTATAAGTGAAAAAAGTTTATCTGTAAACAACTGTTGGAGAAATTACTTATGTCATACATAAAGCACATGTCCTAACCGACTTGCCAAAATGAGAGTTTGTTACGAAATCTGTGGAGTGGTTAAAAAATCAGTTTTAATGACTTCAACCTAAGTGTATGTAAACTTCTGACTTCAACCGTATATGATGTAATGATGGCCATAAACTAACAATGATTTTCATTATCAGTAAACCTGCCTGTACTTTCCTAAATATCCAATAATTGTTTTCTCTATTAAAAAAAATTCAGAAGATGGTAAAAAAAATGTCCATTACAGTCTAGTTCATGTGCACAATGATAAACTGATAAAAATATGAAACAGAAAAGCACAACCAATCATCAAGTTGGAGAAGTTGGACCTGGCATTTTTTGCCTTAACTTAAACAATTAATTGTTTATCAAACTAGTCATTAATTTTATTAGTTTATGTGACTATAAAACAATGGCACCCAAATGTTCAAATGCTACCTTTCTGTTGCTAATGTTGGTTGTTTTGCTTTGTCGTGAATGTTTAAAAGTTAAAAGAGAGGTTCTACATTTAGGTAAATAAGCTTATTTGTTTTCTTTCACAGAGTTTGATAAGAAGTTAGATACCGCTCTCACACCACCTCCTGTGAAACCACTATCCTTATCACTAACTGACCACTCGCCTCTTTGACAGGACTTGCCAAACGCCATGAACGCCGCAGAGATCACAGACAAGTTGGGCTTACACTCCCTGCGCCACCGTAACTGGTACATCCAGGCCACCTGTGCCACCAGCGGTGACGGCCTCTATGAGGGCCTTGATTGGTTGGCCAATCAACTCAAGAACAAGAAATAAGAAGAAAACTGGAAACAGCAGCCACACCGGCATTTTATTTGTTTTGGGAATGTGGGTTAGGTTCAAGGGTTTGGGTTGATAGGTGTAGCAAGCGTCTGTGACTGGAGGAGATTTTAAGCTTTTTTTTTCAGTCTGTTGAGGTTTCTAATAGTTTTCAGTGATTATTGAAAACAAATTCTTATGTACTCAATATTTAATCATTCCACACACACACACAAATGCATACTAACCATAAGCAGTCACTTCATACACTTGCTTTTCCTGTGTCCACATCTTGTCCTTAGGTGCAGAGTGCTGTATGTTAGTCTCTAGATGCTGTACCGAGTCGTGTGTGACTCCGCTGAGTCAGCTTGAGTCATGTATGACTTTTTTGTTGATTTATATTTTTCAGCTGTCGGTCATTTATGAAAAGAAATGTTCTGTCAGTTGCACTTCCTGTTTTTTTTCCATAGCCATTTGTTTTGTTTGGGAGCAGTCACAGCTGGCAGCTCCATGTCACCATGATTCACTTTAATGCTTTCCTCTCCCTTTGAATTTGTGAGCAATGCTGAGGCACTTTGATACTCAGATAAAGTGTGTACACGCCTGTGAGTGTGAAAACACACTGTATGTGTTTGTGCAAGCGACCTATACAGTATTAATGGAGAACAATTCTGTGAAGGAGACAAAGCCAGCGGGGGTGGAGTTTCCCCTGTCACATGTTTCTACTCCCTGTGTGGAAGCCTGACCTGCATACATCCTGGTAGATCTCGTTGGCACTGCTGCATACGTTTCCATCCTCTGAGCTGCATGTTGACCATAGATTTCCTCTAACTGCCACCATTTTCTGCATTAGTTGGCACACATGCTTAAAATAGCTTAGTCAGCTTTATGGTCTTTTAATGTAAAAGTAGTATATAGGTCAACCTGCACCTAAACACAGCGCACATGACCTGCACAGCTGCTACTTGTCTCTGTCCATATGAGTATTCAAACTGCATCAGGTTGCTCTCACTTTGTGTGTCCCAGATGTGCATATCGGGGGATTGCTCTGTCCCTGAAAATTCTGTGTTGCTGAATGTGAATATCATCATGGCTGTAATGATATTTAGTTGACATGCACATTCCTTTATTTCAGTGATGTGGCAGCATAATTATGTGAAAGAAAAAACAGGGTATGCAGATCAGTGTCTTGGTGCGAATCACTTCTGAACATTACTGCGTCAGCTGTGGCACCAGCAGAACCCACAGGTTTTTGTTAATAAAACTATTTCTGTGTGCCATACATGGGTACTACTGATCATACACCAGTGACAGTACAACTCTCTGTATATCCAGTCCACCAACTTATCAGTGCACATCATTCACATTTATCATCTATTATATGTCAAATTGTGTGTTTGATCTTTTGGGTTTTGTGGCCTTATATTTAGTGATGACTTTAAATTGATTTCTTCTCAGCTCGTTTGGTTCCAATTTGGAGTCACATATATTTTATCTATAAAGAATAAGTTACATATTCATTTCTCTAGGCAGAATTTGCACCACAGTTCAAGAAGGTATCTTTTGATTTGCCAGAATGCTTGATTCATATTTGGTGGTAGATTTCTTTGGTTCATTTCAGGGTGAAAAGAAACTTTGATGTAGACCGTTTGTGAAACGATGATAATCAGTACAAAAAAAGAAATTTATTCATTCTGTACCGTTATAGTTACACAAGTAGATTATAAAAAAACAAAAGGTGAAGACCATGTTTCAATGCTGAATGCATGGAGACATCTACATGTAATGTAAGACAACTAACAAAATCCCGCTGTATTACAAATAAACCCATTTTCTGTATGACCTGTCTCATCAGCTGCAAGTGAGTGTGACTGGTGGATTTACACTTGTGTTAAATTCAGTTTTATAAGCGATGGACAACAAATGCAGAAGGTTTTGCTGTTACAAGCTTCTACCAGAAGAGGGCAGTCTGTAGCAACAGTATCTGTTCAGTCAATGTGGCTCAAATCAGGAACAGCTGTGTCAACATTTTACAAATTAAAGTTACATATAGTGGCTTTTGCACTCAAAGGACACGCCTAAGATTGTTTTACCATCCATCCAACCATTGGCTGTACTGCTGATCCTTATATCTGATCCCTGTTTATATACTGGAGTTTGAACTGATGGCAAAAACATCAGACCACCATTTAAAGAACAGCACTGAATAACTTTTCAAAGTAGATAAGTATAGTAACAGTTTTCAATTAAACTTTGAAGAATGTTCATAGAGAGCATTACAAGCATTTCCTCAAAATTTAACCTTATAACAAGAATATGTGGTGTAATTTTTGTCAGTTTGTATGAACCTGAATCATGGTTATGTATATTACGCATAACTGTACTTATATCATATACTGCAATATAATAATTGTATTCTTTTTCATAATATTTATTTTATACAGTGTGTGAATATGTGTTTGAGTCAGTTACATGTGATTCCAGTAGACTTTTCTGAGAGTGTTTACCTGTTGCAGCCCGGGTTGAACACACATGAGGAAACATATTCACCATAATGTTTTTGTATTTCCCCAAACTTCTTCTGTTTATCAGCAGGCTGTTTTTGTGAGAACAACAAAGAAAAAAAAAACCTTTTGAGACTGACTTCCTGGTAGTGGTAGAATATTAACCGTTTGCTTCAAAGACCCCTTCTGCATTTCATGTGACTCACAGCTCAGTCTTTGTGGCAAAACAGAGATGTTTTGCTGTCAGATGTATAATTCTATTATAAAGAACCAAGGATGTTTTTCTTGCATATGTGCACGTATGTGAGTTCATATATGAGCCAAACTGGGGCTGCAGGCAGAGCCAGTTTCTTCAGAGCAGCTCAACTGGCTCACCCACTCTTACAGGCAGAGGATGTTTGCATGAAGCTTAACTAACAAGATGACAAGAGATAAGATGTTCTAACCATACTAGATATTAGTCTGGGGCCAAGAAGGACACTTCCTGCTGTGAAATTTCAACACTGAAAAAAGAGGTTCTAATCACACTTAGATTACCTAACTGGCACCTCATACAGATCTAAGTTCAGCAATAAAATCACGTGGCAATAAAAAGATAGAGCAATAAAAAATTTTTACATTTCCAGGCAAGGAGTATACAGGTGTGTGTGTGTGGGGGGGTCAAAGATGTATTGTTAAGAATGTTCCTGTAGATGATGTATAACAGTGACAAACAAAGAAAGAAGAGTTGTTGTTGTTTGCAATACTGACTTTTTTTTAGTGCTTGGTTATTTGCTTTAAGGTTATAAGGGGCTGAGAGGAAATGACTCACCTGAAACCATAAAGCAGACAAACTGAGACTTATAGTTTTCTATAGGGCCACTTCATCACTGGAATGCAAAATGTTCAAAGATTCCAGACGTTCACTGAGCTTTGGAAATTAAATTAATAAATTATTATTTTATGACCCATGACTGTTGAAGGAATGAGGCGAGAATGCAACACCTCTATTCCATATTTGCATTTTACAGTGGTTGGGCACAAAAATGTGAACACTTAGTGTGACTTGTTTTCAACCAGTGTATGGCTCGTGCAGAATATGGCTCTGCTCACATGCAGAAGATGTGAAGCAACTTAGTACCAAGAACAATGACTTCATATTGTTTTTGAGAAATGCAATTTTTGGACCCGCCTTCTGTCCTTGGTGTTCAAGATACCACATAAACAAATTATTCCTGCTTCAGCTCTGGTGACCTTTGTTGCCAATCATCTTAGCAGCTCCCGCTCTGCATTCCCCATCTGTCTTGACTGTCAAACTTTCTATTAAAGGCAAAATGCTCTAACTGTGATTATAGGTTTCAGGGCCCATTGACAGCACTGTTGCAAAAGCTTGTTGCTTAAATAGAGCCATTTGATTGGTGGCTTGTGAATGCATAGCACAATGCTGGTAGGACTGCACACACACCACACACACGGCAACTTCCATTTTTTCTTTCAAACCCTGTTTAGCTAAATAATGATATTTTTCTTGAACTTAACAAATACTTGAATTATTTCTGTATTTTCTTCTTTTCTTTTGGCTGTTACAAGAGTTAAATAAAATAAAGTGAAACCAAGTGTTTGTTCTTTTTTCCCCCTACGCTGTGGAATAGTTTCAGATATTTTTTTTAATGCATGATTTTTTTTTAACTCATAGTCTTTTGTGTTATTGCAGTTTTGTCCTTTTTGGGTTGCTAATTCTGTCTCTATTGCTCTTGTGTCTTGTCCTGTCTCTTTAATCTTTAACACTTTTATTGTGACACTGCCAGCTAACCTTCGTTTTGAAAGGTACTGTATACAGTATGGGTACAACAAATTCTGCAGACTCACTGTTTACTATTACCCAAAGCCTCCCATACTATTAGCCCACAAAATCAGTTTTTCCAGAGGCTTAAATCAGCTGGGGGTAAAGTATTTTTGAAGATGATTATAATGATGACAGAGGACACTATAGCACCCTATCCCTGAATGCATCCATCCATGTCTTTCATGTTCAGACCATCTTGGTATTTTTCAATATGAATGTAAGAAACAGAATATTACATGCTAAATAATCTTTGAAGGTGTTTTCAAGGTTCTCATTGGGTTTCCAGGTGTTCCGTGTAGCCCTGTGGCTGCAGGCAGGGCCCTCCCACGTAAATCAGTGCCAAAGAGACGCGCTGTGCTCCAATCACTGAGCTGTAGTGATTCCTCTGACACAGACTGGAGCGGGTGGCTGTACAGTTGCGGCTCAGTTAAACGGCAAACAGAGAAAACACAGGTTTTCGCCACGGGACGGATTTACCTTTACATTCGATAACTGGATGAAATCAAAGGGAAGGCAGAAGACAACGCGTGGAAATCTGGATTAATTCTACCACAGTTTAGTGGCCTGAATGGACTCTCGGATTGAACAGAGCTATGACGATTTCGGAAGATAAAGGACACGTTTGGTCTTATTAATCTGACGGAATATTTGTTTAAAGTATCACCGGGCCGGAAATTTGAATGAGGATGACCGCTCTCAGGGGGAAGGTGCAGCAGGTGCTGTGCGTCCTGCTGCCGTGTGCTCTCCAATGGCCCCCCCCCCCCCCCCCTCTCTCTCTCTCTCACACACACACACACACACACACACAAACTCAAACTGCTCTTCACAAAGATAGCAATACAAGTACACAAACACGTGTTTTATGATTATTAATATTTGCAGTGTTCCTTGGACAAATCCCTCTGAATACCTGGAACAGAGCTGAGTACTACACTAGTGCTCTGATCTAGGAAAACACCTGTCCTACCCCACAATCCCTAGACATCAGAACCTGTTCTACACACGTAAAACTTGTTTGCTGTGAGTCACCTGCACCTCTCCCATAACTCTGCGTGTGCTTTATCATGTTTGTCTCAATTGTTTCAAGGTTTTGCAACAGAGTGGCCCAACCTTCCACTCACAAACAGTCTGCCAAATGAGCTTTTGTTTAACGTGAAAAATTATGCTTAAATCTATGTTCTCAATAATGTTCTTGGTGGAAGCAGCATTCAAGATTTATTACTGAAGTAAAAGTAAAAGTAAAAGTAGCACTAGCAAAAATTACTTTTACCCCTAATGTGTAAGCAGCATTTTAATGTTGCTGCTGGTTAAAGCAAAGTTCATTTTAACTTCATGTATAGTGGATTAATCTACAGCTTTTTAGAAAATGAGCTAATGTTTTGTGAGTAAAATATGAAAACAATCTAGGACTGTATCTAAGGATTATTTTTGTTTTGCATTAATCTGTTGATAATTTGCCCATTAATCAATCAATCATCTAGTCTATAAAATAGTGAAAATGCCAATCACATTTTCTCTTGTTTTGCCTTATTAACACTCTAAACTCAAAGATATTCATTTCATTATGACATAAAACAGCAGAAAATCCTCACAACTAAAATGTGGAACTGGGGAGTGTTTGGGATTTTTTGATTAAAAAGTGATAAAAATAGTTACAAATTTAGTTTCTATTCATACTCTAATTAGTTAATTAACTAATTGCTTCAGCCCCAGTCAATTAAAAACTTTGATATAGTGTACTGTAGTTGAAGTAGAAAAATGGACTCGTACAGTAGAAGTCTGTCAAAACTGTACTTGAGTACTCAAGTATTCAGTTACCTTCCACCTGAGCTACATGTTATGAGGCAAAGAGAGGTGCTGTGATTTCAATCCTGGTCAGTGAACGTTGACATTGTTATTGTCAGTGACATTTGGATTTAGAAAAATTAAGTGAACATGAGCTCACTGAGTGACAGAGCCTCTGGCATCTGATCAACACAGACAAAAACAACAAAGGCAGTGAAACAAAAACTAAAAACCTTATGCTTTCACTGCACGAGTCGGGCCATTTAATTCAGACATTTCTGCATCACGAGCAATACAAACTGTAGATACTGTCCTAAACCATGATTGTGTGTTCCTTTAATAAGATCCCCATTAGCTGGTGCTCTTATCAGGGTCCCCACAGCTGCACATTCATACCACTCATCACCATACACTAACAAGACAACACCTTCTTAGATAATATGTTTTTACAATGATTTATATTATCTTATTGTTTAATGTAATTTATTCTTGTGTTTTTGCATTTTAGTAACATTTGCTGTCAACCCACAAGAGACAGTCACATATGTTGCCTTATTGTGGATCTGCTGCAATGTTCTAATATTATGTATCATATTACAATGTGCGCTGCACATCTCACGAAAAACACACAGATGATTTAGAATTATTTGTTTGTTCAGAGTCACTTGTGTTGGTCAAGTGTTAAAGACATTTCAAGTAAGAACAAATCAAGATTTTGGAGGGATAAT